AATTTCCCCAAATGGCAATAAATACAGTAGAGAAAGGCAAAGCATCCCCAAAGAGAATCCACCACCACTAAGAGAGCAATAAGAAATTATTTCCCAAAGCTTCTGACTCCAAAGAATTTTTTATTTTCAGATTTGGGATACTCGTTTGGTAAGTATAATGCAAATATTCCAAAATCCAAAGAAATTCAAAATCTGAAACACTTATGGCCCCAAACATTTCAGATAAGTGATACTCAACCTGTAGCGGCAGTTTACATTTCTGTTACATTTAAGAGATCCTAAAATACCTTCTTTGATCCTCATGACAGGGCTGTGGTTATTATTGTGCCCATTTTCAGATGAAGAAAACAAAGGTCGGAGGTCAAGGAACTTCAAAGAATGTGTCAAATCCAGGACTAACATTTGGGTCTTCAAATTTCAGAGCTTATGTTTGCTCCTCTCAGTCATACTACCTGAGGTGAACCAGAGAGAGGCTTCTCAAAGGTTCTCAAAGCCAAGGAAATCTTCCTAAATCCTATAGGCTGCCCAGAGGTATGCCTAAGACAGTGGTTCTCAAAGTATATCCCTGGGCCAACAGCTTCAGTGTGGCCTGAGAATTTGTTAGAAAATTCCTGGGCCTCAGCCCAGACCTACTGAATCAGACTCTGTGGGGATGGGGCTCAATACTCTAAACTGGGCAACAGAGCAAGACCCTGTCTCAAAAAGAATAGTCTGTATTTTAATAAGCCCTCCAGGGGATTCTGATGCTCATAAGGTTTAAGAACTACTTGTCTGGGAAAACTCTATCTCCCCTCATCTTTACAGAAAGACACAGCTCAATTAGAACTTCCTAAATCCTAGATCAGTGCTTCTTAAACTTGAATATGTATATGAGCCCCCTGGAGAACTCATTCAGTTTCAGACTCTGATTTAGTAGGTCTGGGACAGAGCCTGACATTCTGCATTTCTGACAAGCTCCCCAGTAACACCTATACTGCTTGTCCATGGACCATACTTTGACTAGCAATGCCCTAGAGATCAGTGGTCCCCAACATTTTGGCACCAGGGACCAGTTTCATGGAAGACAATTTGTCCACAGACCAAGGGCAAGGGGGATGGTTTGGGGATGATTCAAAGGCATTACATTTATTGTGCAGTCAAACCTCTCTGCTAATGATAATTTGTACTTGCAGCTGCTCCCCAGCGCTAGCATCACTGCCTCAGCTCCACCTCAGGTCATCAGACATCACATTCTCATAAGGAGGGCGCAACCTAGATCCCTCGCATGCATAGTTTACAGTAGGGTTTGTGCTTCTATGAGAATCTAATGTCCCCACTGATCTGACAGGAGGCGGAGCTTATGCAGTGATGTGAGCGATGGAGAACAGCTGCAAATAGAGATGAAGCTTCACCGGCTCATCTGTCACTTGCCTCCTGCTGTGCAGCCTGGTTCCTAACAGGCCACTGACCGATACCTGTCTGCAGCCCAGGGGTTGGGGAACACAGCCCTAGATCACCCTCAGAAGAGCTGAGCCCCATGAGAGGCACACATAACAGCACATTTTCCAGATAAGCCTTTGGAAACATGCAAAAAGAATCATCTTAAAGTACATTGTGCTTGCTTTATATGAAAATAAAACTAAAGACAGGGAAGCTAACAGGGGTTTGGCAAAACTCCAAGGGTTTGCTTTAGGCCAGCCTGCAAAAAAACAATTCCAGTTCAGATGATCTCCGTGAGGCCAGGCCTGACCAGGAAGAGGAACCCAACTCAACTCTCTCTGATGCCATCCTTCCTCAGCCTCTCCCTTCCTACTCTTTCTCCTCATATCAAAGTATTAATACATGGTAAAGCAATTGAGGCAGCCTCAAGTCAGGAGTGGAGAGGAGAGTTGAAAGAGACAGAAAGGGAGAGAAGTCTGTAGTGCCCCTCACTTGGTGACATGCTAGTGAATGTTTACCAACTGCCTTGTCAAGAAAAAAATAAAATGATTCGCAGCATTTGCCAATTTCCATAGTGCAAAACTCCCACCATAGTTGATTTCAAACTATCAAAGTGAGATCACTGAACATGGACTTAGGAAGAAATGCACACAACTTGGGGATCAAGCAGAAAATCACTGCCTCCTCACCCCCCCCTTTCCACCTCAAACACCAACTCCTCTTCCCCACAGGCAACCTCCTGGCCATGCCTCCAGTGGCCTGCCATCAGATGTTCAATGTGCATGGCAGGAGGCAGAGGGGGCACAGCAGGAAAGCATCTGCCATTGAAAGAAAAGTGTTCAAGAAAATGAGATAAATTCTTTAATAGAGGTGTGTCTAGGGAAACTCCAACTCCTTTTCCTCCTGGGCACACAGACTATATTTCCCAGCCTCCCCTACAATTTGATGAATCATGTGACTGAGTTCTGGCTTATGGAATATGAATAGAAGTGACATACCCCACATTTAGCCCTTTCCACAAAAACCTATCCAATCTTCTACCATCTCTCTTTCCCCATCCACCAGCTGAATGGAGAGGATGTCAAAAACCCAGAGGAGGGCAGAGCCACAAGATGGAAGGAGCCCGGGTTACTGAGTCGCTACTTGGAAGAACACCCATGTTGGACTATTCCATGAGCAGAAGATATAATTTAGCCAATGAGAGTTTAGAAGTGCTTGTTACAGCAACTGGTATATCCTGAACTAAAATGGTAACTATGGGGACCCGAGAAGACCCGTCCTCAACTAGCCTTGTAATGCTATATGAGTGAGGATCAAACATGATCAGCAATGTAAACACTTCATAATGGTATGCAAATAAAGTGTTGCCAATCTTCTCAAGATGCATATAGTGTCTTGAAATCTCACAAGAATACACAGAATACAAGTCATTTGTGATGCATTGGTTACTGAAATTTGGTTTTTGTCTTTATTTTTAAATGAAGTTTTTATATGTATATAATGTCTACAGGTAATTTTTCTATCTATATCTTTTCTACTGCTGTTCACCATGTTTATATTTTTCCAAGTTATCATTTTGACAGGAGTAAAATCTCCCTCTAATAATGGTCTTTCCTGTTATAAAAAGTCCTACAATTCCAAAGCATAATCATCACCACAGAGATGATTTTTCTATTATAGTAAACCAAGTCCCAATCTATCCCCTGGTTGTAGAGTAGGCTTCTTTGGAAATAAAATGAATACAATATCCAGAATACCTCTGATTGTACAACAGGAAGTAACACAGACACTAGAAGAAATGGCTCATTAGGTGCTGAAAAATGAGTACATAGCATGGCAAACTCCACATTTTAATGGAAATTACCACCAAAATTTAAAATGTGCTCAGTAACTCAATGGCATGTGAGTAGAAAATCACTTGGGTCAGATTTTATAATATTTCAAAGTTAGGAAGTACTTACACAGAAATTTTCTAATGCAGTGATTCCCCTTTCTGTCCCCCTCTAATAAAGCCAATCATAACTCTCCCAGAGTACTTATTTAATATACAGATTCCTGGGCCTCCCCCAAAGCTCTCCTCTATCAGACTCTATGGAGGAGGGCCTTAGAATCTGTATTTTCAACAAACACTCAAGGCGATGCTGCTGGTATTACTAGCCCATGGAACACATTTCAAATAGCAAGGCTCTATCCCAAACATATACTTACCTTCCTCTAGATTCAACTTTCTTTTATTAGTAGAAAAAAAAAATTTTTTTTTTGAGACAGAGTCTCACTCTGTTGCCTGGGCTAGAGTGCCGTGGCATCAGCCTAGCTCACAGGAACCTCAAACTCCTGGACTCAAGCCATCCTCCTGCCTCAGCCTCCCAAGTAGCTGGGACTACAGGCATGCGCCACCATGCCCAGCTAATTTTTTCTATATATTTTTAGTTGTCCGGATAATTTCTTTCTATTTTTAGTAGAGACAGGGTCTTGTTCTTGCTCAGGCTGGTCTCGAACTCCTGAGCGCAAATGATCCTCCCACCTTGGCCTCCCAGAGTGCTAGGATTACAGGCATGAGCCATCGTGCCCGGCCAGAAAAAAAATTTTTAAATCACCACTTATCTCTAAATGATAGAATTTTAAGTTAATTTATTGTTTCTTCTCTCCTTTTTCTATATGTTTTCCTCAATGAACGTGGATTACTTTTATTATTAGAAGATATCTTTAAAAGAGCAGCTCTTCGCAAGTATCTAAGTATTTCATAGGTGAGGATGCATGTTACACTTTATTGACTTAACTCCTTGGACTTCTGTAGGTGTCTTTTTTTTTTTTAACATAACTCCTGACCACATAGCCTTGTCTGAGTCCAAATGAGGAAATATGATTTTTAATCATGGCCCAGCAATTAGCTCAGTAAATTGTTTCATAAACTAGTTGACCTTTCTGTGATTCATTTTCTGTAGTCAAATCTGAAGGCCTTAATGAACATGTAAAATTCTCTTTCCTGGGCCTTTTTAGAATGCCTTTTCTTTGTAGTACTAATCTCCAAAGCAACAAATTCTAAAATATTCTTTAAAATAAAAAATACTTAACAGTTCCTAAAGTTGTTTCTCAGTGCAATTTTTCTACAGCTCTCAAAGTGGTCATGTGTGTTTGTAATATAGGTACTTTAGTTTATTGCCAGAAAGTGACTTAGTGGCCAAAAAGAAATTGGGGGTGGGGATGGCAGCAAAAGATGAAGAATGAACTAGGGAAAAAAAAAAAAAAAAAAAACGATGTTCATATAGAAATCTTAGAAAATAACATCATTATATAACTATTCTCAAAACTCATAAACAATTTAGGCTCTCGGAGAGAACAGTATAGAGAAAGACCAGAAATAAGGGGCAAAAACATTGTGCATTTGTTGTCATCGCAGCAAGTAAATTACACCAGACATTGGTTTTCGCCAATTCGTTACAAAAAGTGTCACGATTTTTCCTGTGACTCCTTTGTTGTGACATTCTTTAAAAACAGTTTTCAAAGGACGTGAGAAGGAAGGCCCTTATAATTTACAGAAAAGAGAAAAGTCACAGTAAAATTCACATGAAAGTTCTTACTTCTTCCTCTCAGAGCCTAATATCCTAAACAAATCTTTAAAGTACTGGGGGACGCGGACCACCACATTCTCTGAAGGGCCGATGTCTTTCAGGTGGGGGTAGAGTCTGGCATCAATGACCTTCTTGATGTAGCCCAGCCAGTCAAACTGAGGGAAGAGAGAAAAAAAAAAAAAAAAAAACCAGAGTGAGAGAACTTCTGCTAGGCAGCAAGTAAGAAAGGCAAATAATTAAAGATGCAACTGCTCAAATCTAGAAAATAAACTCCGGATCATTGCCATCCAGACCTATTGCCTTTCTTCCTCCCATATTCTCCCCCCTTTGCCTCCTCTCTCTCTGTCCTATACTGTCCCCTCCCTCTCATACACACACAGATGCAGACGCCATGGTACATTACTGGTCTTCTAACACTGCCTTTCTTAACACAGGAGCAAACAAGCAGCGACAAAAAGCAACATGCCTCCATTCTTCAGAGTATGTCTATCTCACCTAATATGCCATTTGGTACTTTAGATTGGCTACCCTAAAAGTCATTTCCCAGCCTCTTCTCCCTTGCCTGTCTCCACTACTGAAATGGAAAACCAATTACTCAATGCCCAGCCTCCCCTGTAGTAAGGTGTGGCCGCATGACTCAATTCTGTTCAATAATAAATAAATGGAAGACATCTGGGGATATTCTGGAAAGGCTTTTTGTTTTTTTCTGTAAAAAAAAAAAAAAAAAAAAAAAGGGCTATCACTTGCCCTTCCCCCTCCTTTCTGTCCTGAGGACAGAATCAAACATGTAGCTGAAAAGCCAACATACCATGGAGAGTGGAATGGAAAGATAGAAAGAACTTGGGTTTCGGACAACATTGTTAAACAGCTAAGCCAACACCAATAACCACCTATGTCTAGACTTTTGCCCATAAGAAAATGGGGTTTAAGTTTTTAAGCCACTGTTGGAAAGATTTTCTCTTCCCTATAACAGAAGGTATTCCAGCACAGAGATGAGGGATATTTTATGTGATCGTTGACAATGATGATGATAACCAAAAAGATCGATAGTAGGTTTTCCAAGACAGAAATTTACACACAGATGAAATACAATTGCTTGTAAAATGACCAGTTAGGAGAAAGTTTTCTGGATCGTTTTCACCAACCTGGGGAATCATAGCACTCAGTTCAGAAATGTTCATTTTGTTGTACATGGCCTCACTGGTTCGGTTTTCATGTGGAATCATTATCTGTTGGAGAGGGACTTTGGTTATTTTTTTTTTTAATGAACCATTTCTTACTACATGACTACTTTCTACATGTGCCAAAACATCTGGATAGTATTATAACGTTTTTTCCAAGACTTTGGTGTGGTGCCCAACTGGAGGAAGAGAAAAAAAGACATCACTTTAGGCAGGATTAAGATTAAGAAACTAAAAAGAAACTTTCATGTCCTCTTCCATGTGAAATATTGTTCCCAGTACAGAAAGAACTACACAGAATCTCCCCCTCATCTATAACGTGGATGGACAAAATCTATTGCTGACTCAGTTTTGACAGCCAAACTGAAGTTGGACAATTGAGGCAAACATTCCACTTTCCCCTGTGGTCTCCAGATAATGATCTCAATACAGACCATCCCTTTATCTCTAGGGGCAAATTTTCAGTGATGAACATGAGACTGTCTGGATACCACTACTATCCACAATCATTTTGTCAACAGCTCATTCCTTCATTTTCCCCTCTTGTCTCTTTGGCCTTGAGATTCCCCTAGCTGTATTGCTGGGGATATGGATTCACTTACCACCTAAACACATTTCACAACCTGCCTCTCCAGCCCAGACTCTACACTCTTTCCATTCCCAATACTCATGTTCTTGGCCATTTGGTCAACACCAAATCGAAGCCTCTAGCCTCCTCCATGTTTAATCTAATCTAAAAGCAAGCAGCAGTGATTATCTTTCTCAAGGGCCACCTTAATCACCTCCATTGACAGGCAGTAGCTCCCATATCCACCCCTCAATTGCATCATGATTTTGTCTTCAGGCTAGCCATCATCCAATTCCCTCATATTAAACTTGTCACCTCCCACTGCATACATTACTCTTCTACCCTTGCATCTCCTAGCCACCATCACCACCTCCATGGTTTGAACTATGATTCAAGGCTGCCTGAGATTCACCATCTCTAGAAAGCCTTCACAATTAAACTCCACTTGATTCCAATCACAAGGGCCACTCCATCAACAAGCCCTCTCCTTGTGAAACACATCTCTCTAGCTGGGATTGGTTAAATGAACACTTCCATGGCTGTATTTACAAGGACTTATTTGTGTTTGACTGGGTTGTCCTGTCTTCCCAGCTTCACAAGTTCCCCTTGGACTACGTGCCTCACTAATTTTGAATATATCTAGTGGCCTGCAGTGGAAAAGATGGAGTTGAGCATTACTAGCAGGCCACAAATGCACACACTGTGGATGTTTTGAGGCAAAATCACAGAGAGCTGAGAGGCAGACATTTGGCCCCTCTTTTCTAAATCCTTTAGTGCCCTTAGCTTCTCCCTCCTCACCCTCCACAGGGAGACCATGTGTAACTGACAAACAGCTTCGTGGATCTGCGTGAATCATTACCTCAGAGGATGTCCACACTCCTCTTCCACCTACCCCCCTTCTCCTCCCTCAGAGTCTCACAGCCCCAGGTTGGAGCCCTATGGCCTCAGAGCTGTTTTCAGCTCTCTGCCAGCTACTCTCCTCCACACAATGGATTTGTCACTTCATTTAGCCTCTTGACAATTCCCAGTCTTGCCTCAGCCCAGCTGTTGTTAGTTCCCTTTTTGGTCCAAATCCCTGGCTCAGGACAAGGCCTTCCCTGCTATGTAACAGCTTCAGTCCAAATTAGAGCTCTGGGCCTCCTATTTGCCTGAGAAGGGAATCTAGACAGCCTCTAGACATGGCTTAGAAGCACAGTCTTTGACTTCCAAACATCTGCAGCAGTCTTCACAGTTTTCAAAGGTGACATGCAGGAATGAATTTTTTGCACAGCAAGTAGGAATTTGGAGAGAGGTATATGCAGACATCATCACACCAGAGAGAGAGACAAATTCCCCTTCGTTATCATTTACCCCTACTGCACACCTCAACACACCACCACCCCCTCAAACACAAAACCAATAAACACTTGGACTCTTGTTCACCTCAAGATTTTTACCAACTTCCTTCATAGAAAACTACCAACCCACATGCAAAAGTCTCTTGGGAAAAGCATCATTTTCTTTTCATTGCAGGGTTTCCTCACAAGTAGATTTCACTATATTTGTTCCCTCTGGGCCTAGGAACATACAGAGATTTTACACTTTGGTTCTTCTAGGGAAAAAAAAAATTATTCTATAAACAACACTAACTACTTAGGATTTCTCATTATTCTCCCACAAGTTTGTTCTTATATCTTTTTGTCTCTACCATGAGCCTAAAAGAATCTAAGGTGACTTACACAGAACATGTAATTCTGCATCATGTATGTGACACAATTTCATTAAAGTAGGGCAAGAAAAGAATGAAAAACAAGCGTATGTACAAAGTAGCACCAGAAAAGTAGGTTAAAAATGTTTACCCAGCATACCCTAACCACTTTCTATATAAAATTTTATACCCAGTATTGGTGAACAGACTTCCCTGAACCCAGAACTTAGGTCAGACTGAGTATCAGTGGGAGTGGTATAAAATATAGATACTGGATTAAAAGCAACCTTCCATTCAAGTCAACTCAATAAGAATTTATTGAACATCTCTCTTCTATTTGAGCCAAACAGGAGTTTCTATAGGAAACTAGAGAGTCTCTGTGCTGCTATTCTATGGCCACAGCTGAGCAGCATATGCACATTGACTGGTCTTAAACCAGGGAGACAGAAGGAACAAAGAGCTCTTCTTTCTGTCATGGTTCTTTTCTTGCTATTTCCCAGAAGAGGTGCTATTAGTTCTACCTTGAACTCAAAGGGCAATGACACACAATGGTATTATTTAGTTGCAATTTATATGTTTATTCATGATATGCTGCCTTTAAAATAAGAAAAAGGAAAGGAAGGGAAGAGATTTTCAATTAAGACTTACCTCAGCTATCTTAATTTCCAACCTAAGCACTGACTTCATGTCATGCTCCGCTCGGGAGGTGTTGGCTCCTAAAAGCACGGCAGTATCCACCATGAACTTGTAAAGGGCATCTCGATACTATAAGAGATAAAGAGGCAAGTGACCATGACAACAGCCTATTAGGAAATATGTTTCAGAGACACAGAAGAGCAGAAACAGCAGGTAGAAATAAATGTCCTTTTATTTCCACTCTATACTCAAAGTATGGTATAGGTATTATGCGATACCAGCCACCCACCTACCACTTTGAGAGAAAAAAAGAATGATGGCTACTTGGGTACCGTTTCCATGACAGAGATGCCCAACCAGTCCAGCCATCAAGCATCAAGAGAACTCATTTTCTGGCAACCAATGATATTATGGATACATGAAATATCTCCAAATGAGCCCAGAATAGAAAGTTAAAGGTCAGACATCCTCTTTCCAGGCAAGTGACGTTTTAATAAAATAATGGGAAAGAACTGTTTCTAAAAGCAGGAGGCCTGATCCGTGAAGACTGGTGAGAGGTGTGATTTATTCTCTTCCAGCTCAATTTACCCACCTTCACACTAAGAAATAAAAAAAAACCAGTGATAGCAGCCCTGTGTCTTTTCAGTTTTGTACGGTTTTCACAAAGTTCTCCTCCCTAGCTCGGAGAGAGGAAAGAGAAATGATGATTTGAAACCTAGCAAATGGCAAATATTGGATTTCCTTCCTCCATGCTCATAAACCCATTTGGGGGTTATTCATATGTCACTGCACTGCGGGGAGAACTTTACATCATGGGAATTAAAGAATCTCATTGGGACCCACCTCTCATTTCCAATATACTTGTAAGAACTCAATACACCAGGTATCAAATGACCTCCTCATCATGCTATGGGAATGAGATTTCCTTGTGTACACTTTGCCTCTGTAAGCTATTCTTATTGTGTGCATGACCTCAGGACCTATACATGCTTGGCATATAACAGGCCCTTGATAAATATTTGTCGAATTGTAAGCAAGTTAACAAGGATCTAACCTAGGGCAGTAAGGATAAAAAGGAGGGACTAGGTGGATGGAAGAGATACATACTTTGAAGGTGGAATGACTAGGATTTGACTGATTGGTTATAGGAGGAGATAATTTCAAGTCTGCTTGCTGAAACTCCAGCAAAAACAGAGGGCTCCCCCTAGGTTGGCAAAAGTTCATTCTGTCCACTTTCAAGAAGGAAAATTTGCCAATCCCCTTTGATGAGTGTCCTCAGCCAGAAAGCTTCTTAGGATCTTAGGTAGTTTCCTGCCTTCCAGATCCTTGTACATATAGAGGTTTGTATCAGCACAGACCCAGGGGATGTAGGTCTGAGGCTCCTTCAGAAGTTCGATAAAGTTTCCAAAATGAATTGAAAGTGTCAGAAATGAACCAGTTCTTTCCAATCTCTAAGAAACTACTAGGTTTCCAAGCCAACCCAAGAAGTCTAACGTGATTGATCCCTTCTGGTTCTCAGTAACCCTCCATTAACCTGGGGTACCTCTTAAAAACATAGATTCCCAGACACCATCTCAAGTCTACTAAGTCAGACTCTCCAAGGCTGTGCCCCAAGAATCAATATTTAATGGAAGCTTCCCAGGTGATTCTTAAGCATTATAATTTGAGAACTACTGGCCTCCTGGGTATCCCTTCCCATGCTTTACTTCTGCAATGGATAGTGAGCTCTCCATACTTCTGAGGAATGACTGCCAGCTCATTTCTTGGTAACTTCAATCAGGGGTGCTGTCTTCCCAGCTAGATCATAAGGGCACTGAGCATGGGGACTTGTACAGCCTTGATGCCCAGACTTCCAAAAGATAAGGAGTGCAATTTATCTGCCTAATAGGCCTTTGCTTTCTGCATTAGGAGTATGGTCATTGAATAGCCACACTGCTCACTTCCAGTAAAGAAGTAGGGACCTAAGAACAACTGATGAACCCAACAGAAGCCTGACAAGACATAGTTGAATATAAGTAAAACTTACAGACTTGGCTTCTGTGCTGTTTTCAAGGTAGTCTTCCCTCACAGCTAGGGAGAGCGTTGCTTGGTCCAGCTGTTAAAACAAGCCAAAAAAAAAAAGCATTCTGATAGCACTGTAAATTCTTATGTACTATGTTAATAAGATTCATAAGATCATATGCATCCCAGCCATATTTTGAGCTCATGTACACCATTACAAAAAGTATTCAATACACTTAGAGCTATATGCAAATAGGCACTTTGGTGATGACAGATATAATAAAGAGTCAGAGACCTGCCCCTGCTTTCCTGCTTCATGTTTTCTAACCGCTTTAAAGTTCTGTCAACATTGAATAGCACACCAAGGCTATTTGAGTTGGATAGATCTTAGAGATTATTAGATTTCCTCCCTTATTCAATGGGGGGAGAAACAAAAGCCAGAGAATTGATGTGACTTTTCCAAGGTAACATGGTTGGGCAGAACTCAGAGGAAAATAATTGCTTCCTTTCACCAGATCCAGTATTTTTTTCACTGTAATATTTTGCAAAATGCCAATTTCGATGGAGTTGATAAATCAGACTTTCTACCTCCCTATTGCTAAAATAATGTATTGCATTGATTTTTTTTATTTGAAAGGAATCAAATGATAATTTTGTTTAGAGAAATCTTCTCAAATTTTAGAATCCTCTCTGAAAAGTTTAGGATAAGTGATAAGAACACAAATAACAAACAGACAACTATTTAATATATAAGTAGAATTATTGTGATGGAGAAGCATAGTATAAATTCTTAAAACTTTCAGCACCTTAAAGGCAATCAAAAGAAAGAAGACAGTCTTTTCCAAGAATGTTCTAGAAAAACTGGATGTTCATACACAAAAAGAAAATAAACCTTGACCCATACCTCACACCTTGTATAAAAATTAACTTAAAATGGATCATAGACCTAAATGTAAAACTTAAAACTATAAAAACTTCTAGAAGGAAATATAAGGGAAAATTTTTTGTGACCTGGGGTTAAAGAGTTTTTAGACATGACAGCAAAATCATAATCCTTAAAATAAAAAATAAATTAGACTTAACTTTAAAAGATTTTGCTGAGTGAAAGACACTTGAAGAGAGTAAAAAGACAAGCTGCAGAATTGGGGAAAATATTTGAAAATCACATATATGACAAAGGAGCAAAAGATTCAAACATATACTTCACCAAAGAACATATGCAGATAGAAAATAAGCACATGAAAATATGCCCAAGATCATTAATCATTAGGAAAATGTAAATTATACCCACAATAAAATACCATCACACATCTGTTAAAATGAAAAAGAAAAAGAAAAATCTGACAAGTGCTAGTGAGGATGTGGAAAAACTGGAGCACTCATACATGGCTGGTGGGAATGCAAAATGGTACAGCCACTTTGGAAGGAAACCAGCGTGACATTGTTTTATAAAGTTAAACATACATTTATATATCAGCAAGCAATCCCAATCCTAGGTATTTACCCAGAAGAAATGAAAACTTATGCTCAAACAAAACCTGCATGTAACTTTATTCATAATCAATAAAAACTGGAAATAATCCAAATGTCCTTCAACCCATGAATGGATAAACTACAGTATCCAATGAAATGCTAGTCAGCAATAAAAAGGAATGAAATATTGATATATGCAACAACATGGGGGAGTTTTACTTACACCCCTAAAAAGGCAAAATTTATAGGGACATGGAAAAAAGTGGTGGTTGCCAGGGGTTGGGGATGAAGACAGAGGTTGACTACAAAGGGATAACAAAGGGTGGGGGAGGGGCACGATGGGACTATTCCATTTCTTGATTATTGTAGTGGTTACATTACTCTATGCATTTGTCAAAACTTAAAGACACATACATCACAAAAAGTGAATTTAACTGTATGCAAATTTTTAAATAATTTTTTTAAAAAACTTCCAGCACCTTCCTGAATCTATGGCTTATTCTTTCTTGAATATCAGCAACTGACTAAAGACTAAATAAAATGAATCTCAACAGCAGATTTTTCCAAATTCAAACATTAAAAAGTGAAGCCAAATTAAAAATATACAAAATCTAGGGCCGGGTGCGGTGGCTCATGCCTGTAATCCTAGCACTCTGGGAGGCCGAGGCGGGCGGATTGCTCGAGGTCAGGAGTTCGAAACCAGCCTGAGCGAGACCCCGTCTCTACTAAAAAAGAAATTAATTGGCCAACTAAAAATATATACATAAAATTAGCCGGGCATGGTGGCGCATGCCTGTAGTCCCAGCTACTCAGGAGGCTGAGGCAGGAGGATCGCCTGAGCCCAGGAGTTTGAGGTTGCTGTGAGCTAGGCTGACGCCACGGCACTCACTCTAGCCTGAGCAACAAAGCGAGACTCTGTCTCAAAAAAAAAGAAACAAAATCTAAATATCAAAACTTAGTAGCATCTTAATAAAAACTGAATCCTACCTGATTGTACCATTAGTTTATATGACTGTAAATTATTTTTATCTATCTCCTCCAGTTTCTTCATCTTTCTATAATCTCAAACATTTTAGTTTTTAATGCATAAAATCTGTATAAGATCATAGTTTTCCATGAAAATCTCCTTGACATGCAATAAATTCTACAAAGGCCAAATTAAGAGTTTGTAATGTTATACAAAATTCAAGGAAAAATATTGCTCTTGTTTCAGGGGGAACAAGATGCTTTCAAAACATCCATCTTATCTGTGTGTATTGCTAAAATCCTCGAATTATTTTAATCAACCTTCTCTAATTGGCTTGAAACAACCATGTCACAAGCCTGCCTGGCTTCATCCTACTGCAATTCCCAATCTGCCACTGTTTCTTCCAAAAATTAAGTAAGTCAGGATCATGAAATACAATATTATGATTAAGATGCTTTGGCTTTCCATTAAATTTGGACCACTTGGAGAATATTTTGAGCTTCAGTCTCATAGGAAAGGAAACTGTATAAATAATATCAAGAAAGCCAAAGTTTCTCTCTCATGAAATGAAGTTAAATCCACTTATTGTAAAAGTTTAGATAATTCAAGTGAGGTTACCAGACCTTTTACAAACCTTCAAATTGTTATGGTTTCCAGGGAGCATTTTAAATACACCAATGGATTGAATAAGGTCAGTAAACTAAATCTCATTAGAAACACACAAACTCTTGAGGCAAAAGACTTTCTCACAGAGCCAACATCAGGACACTGGGCTATTTGAGGTTTTTCTAATCCTTGCATTTACAACTGATCTAAATATTGCAAGTAGAAAATAAAATGTTTTCAGGAAATCCAATACACAGATTTGGATTTGAAAAAATGAAATTTTTCTCCAATTACATTGATATTCCCATTATATAAACCTCAAGTTAGGAGACACAATAGTAATACAAAAAGAAACATCTGACAGATTATGATGTAGGAAAAGGAGTCTGGCCGGGCACAGTGGCTCACGCCTGTAGTCCTAGCCCTCTGGGAGACCGAGACGGGCGGATTGCTCGAGTTCAGGAGTTCGAAAGCAGCCTGAGCAAGAGCGAGACCCCGTCTCTACCATAAATGGAAAGAAATTAATTGGCCAACTAAAAATATATACAAAAATTAGCCGGGCATGGTGGCGCATGTCTGTAGTCCCAGTTACTCGGGAGGCTGAGGCAGGAGGATCGCTTGAGCCCAGGAGTTTGAGGTTGCTGTAAGCTAGGCTGATGCCATGGCACTCACTCTAGCCTGAGCAACAAATCGAGACTCTGTCTCAAAAAAAAAAAAAAAAAGAAAAGAAAAGAAAAGGAGTCTGGACTTCTGGTTCCAAAATAGTGGCACAGATGCAAACTGGCTTCACTCCTCTCACAGAAAACCAAAAGCGAATATACAGCACTGAGATTATCACCAGCAATATCCCAGAACTCAATTATGAAGATAAGTCAATTCCTAGGGCCACAGAGAGGTTAAAAAAAAAACTCTGAGAAGACAGTAAGAAAGTCAGATTTCCATATCCATGATGCCCCTCCTCCCAATCAGCCCAGCAACAAGTACATGGAAAATTTTCCCCAACTCATGGAAAAAGTGAGATTGAGGTAGACAACCAGCTTCCGCACCACCTCAGGTCCTCTGGTAGGATCTCTCTCCATGCTTCAACCCACGGAAAGCATTATGAGTGCCCAAAGGGAGATACAACCCTGAGGACAGCAAGGGACAACAGTGGGGGACAGGACTACTATACTGAGCCCTAGAAACTCTGCTATGTAACTCAGCCAAAGGAGATGCCAAATCAGAGTGGCTGTTCAGCAGTACCATGCTGTATGTAGGAGGTTCATCCTATAGGTCCCTTGGGCACAAAGCCCTAGCCAGCTTTTTCACACTGTCAGAATATCCCCTTTGGGACCTGCCCTATACTGAACAGGCAGTACTCTGATCGTTTGATTGAGCCAAGACAAACCTGGGCTTAAGGTGCCATCTGTTGCAGAAAAGAAGGCAGTGACCTAGAGGAAAAAAGTGTAAGAAATTCATAAGAAAATTAAAAGGAGGCCGGGCGCGGTGGCTCACGCCTGTAATCCTAGCACTCTGGGAGGCCAAGGCAGGAGGATCACTTAAGGTCAGGAGTTTGAGACGAGCCTCAGCAAGAGCAAGACCCCATCTCTACTAAAAATAGAAAGAAATTAGCTGGACAACTAAAAATATATAGAAACAATTAGCCGGGTATGGTGGTGCATGCCTGTAGTCCCAGCTACTCAGGAGGGTGAGGCAGAAGGATCACTTGAACCCAGGAGTCTGAGGTTGCTGTGAGCTAGCCTGACACCATGGCACTCTAGCCCGGGCAACAGAGTAGGACTCTGTCTCAAAAAAAAAAAAAAAAATTACAAAGAATCTCTAAGCAAACATACTCAATAAAAACCAAAACATCCAGAGAATACTGTAATAAATAACTAAGCTTTCAATGCAAAGACACAGATATACACAACCATAAGAAACAACAGCAAACAAGGAAATCACGACCAACCTACCCAAACAGACAAGGCACCAGTGACTGACCCTAACAAGATGGCAATACATGAACACTCTAAGAATTCAAAATAGCAGTTTTAAGGAAACTCAGTGAT